GTAGAACTTGTGGAAGCCTGCCCAGAGCTGTATGATCCGAGGCATAGGCAAAATAAGAACAATAATAGGAAGATGGAGAGGAGAGTGGAGAGGCATTGCTGCCCAGGTTGTCTCTGGCTATGATCATTTGAGCAGCTCTGAAAAGAACAACTGTGGTAAGTTCATGTCTCTCAAGCATTGTGCTGCTCTTTTCCTGGCTATCTGTAGGTCTTGCAGAGGTCCCCCAGCAAGACCTAAAATGGAATGCGTCAAAAACACAGCAAAAACGTGGCAAAATGCAACGCAGTGCATTCCAGATCTGGTCCAAATCTGCTCCAGAAAATGGCGTGAACCTGCCCTAAATCTTCTTCAGTGCAGCCGTCATGTGAACTGAATAGTTCTAGTAATCCTTCATCCAGCAGCAGCCTGTGAGTGGAGTAGAATGGTGCACACATGTGCTGCAGCCACCAGTTTCTGAAAGTGACCATGGCACCTCCTGTAGTCCAGACTACTGTAGGTGGTGCCCCAATGACTGCCTGGGAACTTAGGAAGTGTTGGGTAATGCTGGGCATCATACAACCCAGAATTGTGGCAACTGCTACCAAATCAAAAATAATTTCTGTTCTGCTGTCAGTATTAGTTAGAAGGTTTTTTAAAGGAGATATTTGGAACTTCTAATCCTAATACTTCCCTGACATGTTTATTGTGTATTTTTGAATCCTCTAGGCTGGAGTCGTTTTCATCGGCAGTATCCAGAGCTTTATGTGCTGCCAGACAAGTTCTAGTCTTGAAATGGGTATCTGCCACCCCACTCTCAACCAGGGACTGGATTACTGAACTAGATCACCTGATTTACTTTGAAAAGCTCACATATCAGCACTGGGGCACTTTAGATAAATATTACATGATTTGGAACAGATGGATTGATTCATCTCCTATATTGGAATAGATGGAATTAGAGACGTGTGTTAGCACTTGCTTGACAGGAAATGTGGTATACAGTTTTATATATGCTGCAGTCTTTTCAACAACCCTTTGTACTGAGAATTGGTACTCTACTCTTTAATCAAGTTGTGTACATCCTATGCATGATATGTTTTACTGCAGTCTGTGAGGTTTCCCTGTGTAACAGGGCCTATGCTTCATGTGTTTTGTTCTACTTTTATCTTTATTTTACTTTGTTATGTTTGATAGTTTGTGTGTATGTTGCATGTTGTTGAAATTCAATAAAAATCATCTGAATTAAAAAAATAAAAAGAAAGAAAATTTCGAGTAAGGCCTCCATTTGTTATTTAATGATTAAGAGTATGGTGTCACTTGGATTTGAATTATATTTATTACTATAAATAAAATTATTCATATGCAGTATCTATAATATTAATGAATACTCAAAGGACAAAGTTTATCCAGCATCCATTTAAGAACAAAAGATAGAAAGTATTTACAGCACGTCTGAAGAAGAGCATAAATCCATTCTCCAATACAATATCATATAGTTGTCCATTCTCCATATACTAATAATATTCCTATCAGACAAACAGTTTTCTTAACTCTTGGCGCTAATGGCTGCCAGCTGAACGGTCCACTTGCTGTTGCATACTCAAAGTTTTCAACAGTTTATCACAGTTTTTCACAGTTTTGCTCATCCAAGGCTCTGGGGCTTCCACCACGAACATAGAAAACAAAATGGAACAGAGCACCACCTCCATGTGTAAAATCGTTTATTAAGATAAATAAAACAAGGGATAACGTTTTCATCACGCTTTAACAACAAACAAGAGGCCACACTGTCTGTTAACCCAACATGGTATCGCCCCGACTATGTAACACAGTTGCCTCTGGTCACATCACTGTCCTCCAACTGCAGTCAGCCAATATTGACGCATTTCAGGACCAAGCCCCCTTCATCAGAATCAAAACGTTTGCTTGTGAGAACTTATATCCCTTGTTTTATTTATCTTAATAAACGATTTTACACACAGAGGTAGCGCTCTATTCCCTTTTGTTTAATAATATTCCTACCGTATGAGTAAACTTCCAATCATGCCATTAGCTGGCAACTCTTACTGTTATACTGGGCTCCTTGTGCATTATTCCGCCTCGACCAAACCTGTTTTACCCACTAAAAGAACAGAGGGGCACAGTACTTTGGCACCATGACATCCAAGAGGTGTTATTTAACCCCTTCGTGACTTCGTACCCACTGTATGTGGTGTATGTGACCAGTTATTTGCGGCTCTAAAAAAAAGCTGGTAACTGCTGATCCTCAGCGGTTACCATTCATTAATGAATGCCTCAGTATTGAAGCATTCATTAATGAAATAGTTAAACTTATGTAAAAGCTAATTAATGAAAGAATTAAGCCGTTGCATACAAATACCGGATCGCTAAACTCCCCGTTCTATGGGACCGGGAGCGATGCAGATTGCATCACTTCCAGTCCCTGGGCTGTCAGTTCTGGGCTCCAGGGACTTGCATAAAACAGAGGCCCTTAATGTTTCCCTCCCCTCGTCTGAAGTTACCTATCTCCGAGACACTTTTCGCTTCAAATGGCAACATACAGCCATTAAATACCTAGGTGTATTCCTAACCCCGAACCAAGCAGACCTATATCGCCTGAATTTTGCTCCACTTCTCCAGTCTACTATCACACGCCTGCAAACGTGGACCTCATTGCGTCACTCCTGGCTGGGAAGAATTGCCCTCTTTAAAATTGATATTTTACCTCGCTTTCTATACCTTTTCCAAACTCTCCCCCTTGTCCTGCCCGCTACTTTCTTCCGGCAAATGCGCTCTGCATTGCTCCGCTTCATCTGGGCTGGTAAGCGCCCGCTTCTGGCCTATCACATCATGACCCGACCCAAGGAATCAGGGGGTCTGGCCCTTCCCGACCTGAAGACATATTACTACGCGGCGCTCCTTGCCCAGATTCTTGACAGGAAGCACCACAGAGCACACAAACTCTGGGTCTCCCTGGAGTCACTTGTCTCACCGGTGCTCCCTTTCTCCGTACCCTGGATTGCCCCGTCTCACTGCCCTCATTCATCGACTCTCCCTTTCGCTCTTCCTCCGCTTTTAAAAGCATTGGATCTTCTTCTCAAAACGCCTGTCCTGTCCTCTTATGTGGGCCATATGACTACCATAATGGGCAATCCAGCGTTTCCACCGGGCTGCATCTCCTCTAGCTTCCTCTCTTGGTCAGCAGCAGAGCCTTCGCCCTTGACCGAGGCCCTCACAGGATCGGCCCTGAAATCTCTGGTCACCCTACTGGCGGACCGTCCCCACACGCCCGGAGCCTGGCTATTATATTTCCAACTTCGTGCGTACTATACTGCGCTGGGGGACCGGGCCACCCTACATCGCCCTCTTTCCTGGTTCGAGTCCCTCTGTTGTCTGGATGTTATCTCTCTCCTATACTGTCAGCTGCTTCCGATGCGCTTCCAGGGACGTTTACCGTTCATATCCAGTTGGGAGAGGGACTTGGGGATTACCCTTACGGATGAGGAGATCCGAACCGCCTGCGTTATTACTCATAAGCTCTCTGTGGCCTGCTCGGCTCAAGAAAAAGGATATAAAATTTTAACCCGGTGGTACCGTAGCCCAACTCTCCTACATAGAATATTTCCTGATAGGCCCTCACTATGCTGGCGATGCCTGGCCTCGGAGGGGACCCTCCTGCATATTTGGTGGGACTGCTCGCTCCTGATGCCATTCTGGAATAAGGTCTTTCACGTTTATAACCAGGTCATGGGGACGGACCTAGCAGCCTCACCCAAGATTGCTCTCCTCTCTATTCTACCTGGCTCAATAGCCTCCGTTAAGAGGGATCTACTCCGGTTCTTCTTGGCTGTGGCCTGGAACGTGATACCACGCCACTGGAACACGGTGGTTGCCCCGACCTTGCAGGAGTGGATTGCCGAAGTGGGTTTGATCATGCGCTTTGAAGAGCTGACGGCCTCTTTACATGAGCGTCAACCTCAATGTGCAACCTTGTGGACCCCTTGGATTTTATATATGGATTCAGCGGCATTTAGAGCCCTGTAATTTGACCAGTGGCCCCCTGATGGACTATTGACCAGTGCATTGCATCTAATATCTCTCAGTATGCCACCCTCAGTGACGAATGTGCCATTGGTTCCGGCGGAAGCTCCTCCTCTCCTCCCCTCCTCCCTGTCCCACTAAGCGCCTTTCCCTATATGTCTCCCGCCCTGACTTGCCTCTCTATCTGGCAAGCACCCCCCCAAAATGTTGTCCCGTGGGCCCTGTGTTTTCTATGTACTTCCTTCCTTGTCCTCCTTCTTTAATGTTGTCTGGATAGATGGGGAAAAATGCGATAATACCACTCAGCCTTAACAGTCTCCTGACTGAGACACACACAGCTGTTATTGAAATATGACGCCTACCATACACTGCATGAGTCGACATGTGTATTTCCGTGATATGGAGCTGAATATACCCATGTGCATGCATAAGCCTATGTCTCACGATGGAGTGTATTTATGTGAATCTGTACTGCATTGATCTCCATGTTTACATGTCTTTCATGTTACTTGTCTTAAAACCCTTAATAAACATTTATTATTTTAAAAAAAGACATAGGTTACATTATAAGTAAACCCAAGATACACAAGATAAAACAATATAGTTTCAGCACTGACAAAACCTTTATTTTGGGAGCTTGCTATAGGGTCAGCCATTTTCAGCCATTCATCAATACTGCGATTTAAACTGAGTGCTAATAATAAACACACATTGCATTATCAATATTTGAAACGCAACCTCTTTAAACGTCTCACCTTATCTGCATGTGTAGTGTGAAAATAATAGTTGTATTTCTAAGTTGTTTTGTTTTTTTAAATAATTCCTGCGGCTCTAAAATTCAACTACCACTGTATATTCCTGCGGCTTCAAAATTCAACTACCACCTAGAAACCTACCAGTATGTTCTCACCTTTTTACTTTCAATATAGTGTTGCATGGTTATTTTATTACGCTTTGCAATGCACTGGATGTTTACTCACCGTCCAGTTGATAGTGAGTTCATTTGGTGTACCTCCACCTCCATTAACCCCTGATGGAGCCACATTAGGAGCTGCAAAAATGATAATCTTAATTAATGACAATTCCCAATGCTTATCTAAGGCCATCGGCAACAACACACTCCAATATACACATACTGAAATGTTAATATGATAAGCACTTATGCATTAGTTTTATGTTATGCCCATAGCAAAACAGCAAGCAGCAGCATTTCAATTTTTAAGTTTTAGGAATATGCAGACTAACAAAGGGTTATTTTGACTGATGTACTTTACTTATGTCTTGGCATAACCCTATAAAAAAAATGCCTACGTCCCCTACCTATAATAATTTGGATGTGTATAATCACAATTGCATTAGCAAAACCATGCTAGATGCATAGATGACTATGATCTCCTCCTCTGGAGGAGTTTAATTTAAAAAAAAAAAATTAATTAATTTTAAGGTTGCTTTAACAAACATCATACGCAGATCAACACTCATTCCGTTGATCTGCAAATAAACTCTGATCAGAAGGTCTATTTTTTTAATAGGCTTCTAAATGTATGCAGCAGGTCCTGGCTAGGTTGTCAGTAAAAGCGGCAGGGAAAAGTGCATGCTACATATGCCCAGAGGTGAAGTTTTTTGGGGCATACATAGCACCTCTAAGATCCAACAGTAGTTGCATTAAGGAAAGTTCCATATTTTTGTTCTCCCATTAACAAAACAATTTCTAGTGTCTTTGTATCTTGGAGATATACCAACTCACACTTGACATATACACAGACATTTATTATTTAAGAACTGATTCAAAGAATAATTTTAGTTAATTATGGAATTTTACTCATTCTCTAGGAATATCAAATGTAACTGTGAACCTGAACTATGTAACTAGGACCTCAGACTGGATAATCATCTACAATGATGCCCAGCTGCTAAACACACTATATTCAACCTCCTATTGTAGTGGCAATCATTGACTGTACACATTGGTGTAGCATTGCACAGAGTAAAGGCATTTTAAAGACAGTATCTTACCGGCCTCTTTTGTTTTCACCAAGGAAGAAGGAGCACTTGGCTCCCCTACTCCTAAAATATTGCTGGCGACTACTCGGAAAAGGTAGTCAGTCCATGGTAAAAGGCCAACCACAAGAGCTGATTCTGCATTACCTTCCACAGTAAGTGGATCTGCAAGAACAACAAAAGAAGTAGGCAAAAGTATTATTGGTGCATACATTAAATATTATACAGC